CAGCAGGGCTCGTCCGCTTGCAAACTGAGCTGGAAACCCTGCYGGAAACGTAACAAAAGCTCTCAGCCGGCTCGGCTCCTGCCATGTCCCCAGGCCTGCATGCCAGCAGCTCGYGAGCTTCACCGACAGGCTGCGAGAGGTGCTACGAGGAGAGCTGCAGCATCCCCAGCCCCGCACGGGCTYGCTCCCAAGCTCCGTCTCGGGTGCACCTCGGTTCTGCTCCCCACGGTTCCTGCTGAGCCATTTTGCTCATTCTGCCCCATTTCCTCGGYGGAAAACGCAGCAGGCTGGCACGGACCAGCACCTTGAAGGGTTTGCATTCCACGGCTAGAAACCCCCCCAGTGCTGAGGGGCAAGGGCTCTGCTGGAATGCGGGCCAGGCACAGCTGTGCCCGAGAAGGACCCTCACCAACGCATGTGCTCGCCACCTGCTTGAGGACTAAACCAGGAATCCCGGAGCTGAATGCGCAGTCTGTTAGAGTGGGCTGCAGCCTGCACCGCACGTGATGCTGGAGCTGCTGCAATGCGCTGCCCAGATCCAGGAATGCACCTCGGCCCTGGCAAGGCGGCTACTCCACACTGCTAACACAGCTAACCCTGTTAAAAGCAGAGCTCTAATCCAAAAAGGGCTGCTATAAAAAGAGAACTGTGGAAAGAAAATCACCAACAAAAGCAGTGTCTAGACACAGCCTTAAAGTAACTCGTGATGTGGGGAGTCTTCTCTTTTGGAAGCCCAGCCTGAGATGCCACAAAGCAGTGCGATCACAAAAGATGTCAAACATCTGCCCCCCTGGATCAGCTCCCTTTCAAAGTATTTCTAGTGCATCCATATCACTGTCTGTTTGGGACTATCTTGGCACTACTGTCTCTTAACAGATTCCAAATCATGTGGAGTCCCTTGGATGCCAGCACCAAAAGAAAGGGTCTGAAGKGGAGAACTTAACTCCCTCCACATCTCTGCATGGGCTCTTCTGGTACAGCAGATCTGCTGCACAGACATGAGGAAAAGCCATATGCTGAAAAAGGAAGGACCAGCTTTATTTTACCAGCCTGTGTTCCCACCGCAGCTGTGCTTTAAAGACTGCCTTGCAAAGTAGGAATTAAATCCAAAGGTGCCTATGCATCTTCTGGGCTGTCATCCCCTTATCAGTTATCTCCAGCGTGCTCCGAGCCAGGAGATGAAAGGATCGTAACACTTATCTTGCCACTTAAGAACATGCTTAACAGCTTCTTGCTAAAGAGGAGGACACTCAAGCCTTGGGAAGCAGCAGTAAATTCTGCAAATGGGTTCCCTGGCATTTCTTTGAAAGGGATATTGCTCCTCAACGAGGGATACAGATATGAAAATGAAACCAGGCAGAGAGAAAAGGCTTTGCAGCAAAGCAGGACTTCCCTTGGTGCCGTGAGGATGAAGCTGAGTGACAGATGTGAGACGGGTGGCATGTGCGGCTCAGAAAAGCCCGAGGACGAGCCAGGAATTGAAAAACTCTTGGAAGACATTTAAGCAGCCAGACTTATGGTATGTTTGTCACTAGACCACAAGGAGCTCGCGGAGCAGGCTGTGCAGTTAGAGCCAGGAAAGCCAGCGATCCCCTCGCTGCTGCAGCCCTAACAGTTGAGGCCAGGTCACGACTCCTCTCCCATAGGGCCATCCTGCCCGGAGCAGAGTGGAAACCCAAATACATGTGGGCTGTGAGAGTGTGTGGCAGCTTCTGCTGCCTGCTCTACGGCTTTGACCCTCCTCTGCTCTTTGGAGAACGACTGATGGAGGTGCATCTCCACCCGGCTGGGTCCAGCTTGCCTTTGCTTACCCTCAGGAGCGGAGTCCAACAGTCAGAACTGCCAAACAGAGTCAGTTCCAAGATCCTGAGTTAAGACAGGTCTCAGCGAGGACAAGTGCTGCTGTTGCAGGGCGCAAATGCGTGGGGGGAGGCTCCGAGCCCTGCCACGCACAAGCTCCGGGCAAGTGCCCTGCAAGCTGGTGTCCTCTGCACSCAGGGCGCTGAGCCAGCGCTGCAGGCTGAGCCTGGCCCCGAGCTCAGCTGCTCGCACGCAGCCGACGGAGCAGCRGGTAAGCGGGAGAGGGGGCACCGGGGCCTCTGAAGCTGCTGCCAGCCAGAGGCAGCAGGACTTCAAAGGGCTTATCTTGCCCTGCGTGGGCAGCTGCTCCTCGGCCAGGCTCCGGGCAGGATTTCTCTGTTCCCTACGGGATGCTGAGCACCGGCCGATTCCAAGGAAGCGCCACGTACAGACAGACACTAGTGAGCTCTTGGAGGAGGAGCCCGTGGGACGCACGAGGCGATTACGAGGTGCTCGGGCTTTCATCTCCAGATCCCCAGTTCAAAGGAAGCTCCAGCAGCGCTGACCAACCTGCAGCTAATAGCCATGTGCTGGCGCACGGGAAATCAGATAAGTTGTCGGCTCCTTGATCCCTGAGAAATGGGGCCAGACCCATCAACATGCCACATGCAAACTCAGCAGAGCAGTTCAGACCAAAGGCAGAAAGAAACCAGCCCCTCCTCGGGGTTTATTGACTCCCAGATCAGCAAGGAGGTGTGGAGTGGTTGAGGCTGGGCTATTTCGTGCTCAATTTCATGGCATGCATGTCCAGCTCTGTCAGAAAAGCACTTATCGTTCATGCTAATAGGGTTGGGTACTGCTCGTTTCGCCTTGGTTGGAGGAGTCTAAACTCAACAAAAACCTTAACCAAAACACCCCACGCTCCCAAGGATGGGGTCCCATTGCCCAGGGAAGTCAGGGCTGGTTGGGAGCTGGGAGTTTCTTTTAGGGAACATCACCTTGCAAGGATACCAGGGAAGGGAGGTTTTCCAGGCACTAGCAGTGATTAACTCCGAACAACACAATCAGTATAAAGGGAGATTTATCTTAGAGCTTTTGCGGAGATCAGTGCAGAAGAAGAAAASAGGCTGAATCAGTGACTTTAATGCATATTAAAAATAGCACTTGACAAGATTATTTCAAGGGATAACAACTATTTTACAGGAGCAGCAAGAACTGCAGGACTTTGCAACACCTTCCCTGTCCTAGCTGTGTAAGCTGCCGGAAATCATTCCAGAGGGTGTTAGCAGCCAAAGCATCTCAGGAGGAAGTCCATTAGCAAGCAGCAATCTCCTTAATGGATCCTTGGGGTAAGTAGGAGACATTCTGCCTTGCCTATGGACACTTGCTTTTTTTTCCCTGCAGTGATTCAAAGGCTGCTCGAGCAGCTATTACCATCCAGTTCCCTAAGGAATGCTCCTAATCTGTATGGCAGCCCAGCAGCGTGGGGAATTCATCCTTTGGGAAGCTTTCATTGAGYGAGGACACAAATTGGTTTAGTGAGATATGTTCTTCCTATAGCACCTGGCAGAGATGCAGATCCACCACGAGGAGCCCTACACTGCACTGTAATGCAGCTAAAAGCAACAACACCTATTGGAACAGAGGCATCGCCTTTGCTTCCCAAGGATAGCATCCTAGGAAAACAAGCACAGTCTCTGTGGCTGACCTTGGCCTGAAAGTTCCAGCAGAGCCTTGTGCAGACAAAATCATTAAACCCTCAGCTGTGCAATCAGCTCCACTTGAGCAGCTCTGCGACAGCGCACGGCCACCCCGGGGAGACGGGAAGCAGCAGGAAGCTTCCTGCTGGGAATGGAAAACGGAATGGAAAACGGCGCTGCTGGCCCTCCTGAAAGGTAACCTTGGCTTCTCAAAGCAGCTCCCGCTTCTGRCGTGGTTTGCTGCTCTTCATTGCTYGTGCAACCAAAATCCTGACTGACTTTGGATACAGAGAACACCCTGGGTTCCCAAGCAGCAACCACGAGAAGTTTCAGGATAAACTATTATAGCATTATTATACATGCTGAAGATATGTGGACAGGACTGTCAAAAATGAGAGYGAATTAGGTGTTTCGGCTGAGGAGGGCAAGGCAAACAGAAACACTTTGAAGGGACTTGAATTTTTCTAATTATTATACTTCTGCTCCCTGAAAAACAGCATCTAAAGCAGAGGGCAGCAAATTATATCCCACCCGCATAATGTTGGTCATTTACAAAAGGAATTCCCTGATAGTTTATTTAGATGGGGATTTTCAAAAGAGGCTCTGGGAACTAGAAACCCTGCCTAGCAATGGGAACAAATTCCCTTAGATTTCAGTGGGTTTCTGCAGTTCTGCAGAAAACATTACCCAGGCTAGCCGTAAATATTTTTAATAGCATGATTATGAATCTTCAAATATTGCTGAATATTGTGAAATGTTACCTTTTAACCGTATGTCAGAGAGATAGAGAGCACCTCAGGTTTTAAAGCTCAGTGTCTTCAGAGGAGCCAGCTGTGCACAAATAAATTAAGAGGACCCTTAAACAGGCAATGATCTTACATTTACGCTGTAATCAGGTACATTGATGGGAGGAGGTTAGAGAGTGTTCCGGCTTTAATTCCGCAATCCCTGGGATTTATTACTTAAAAACACAGGAAAACCTTGAGCATTATCGGAACACAATTTAATTTCACCTACTTGATCCGACCCTGGGCTGAAACCTTCATTTCCCCTTGAGYTTGTGCTGCTGTGTGTTAAACCCTGTGCCCCGTCTCACTGCAACCCCCTCATGCACAGGTCTGTAATGGGGGTGCACGCCACCCAATACAGTGYTTTATTTGTGCTGAGAAGCCATTCTTGCACCACAGAGCAATCCCTATTATTATTTAAGCTTATCTCGAGTACCTGTGGGCAGTCAGGTTCTAGCATGTTCATGACTGGTTTTCTTTTTAATTAGTTAATGCCAGCTCCATGTTGACTGGGCTGCCATCGATGGCTCTTGCTATCGTCGTTAGCTCATGGGAATCCGATCTGACTGTGCATTCAGCTGCAGGCAAAATTGCACAAGTGTTTTTTATTTATTTTTTTGTCAACTCTTTTACAAAATTTTCTTCCTGCATCCATATTTTTTTTCCTCTCCTCAGAGTTGTGTTTTATCCACAGTTTATCARCACCAAAAGCAATTCACTTCAGTACCCAAGGCAGCAGAGCAGTAGTTTTGACAAGATGCTTCAGAACACCCTCCCAAGAGCTGGCTCCTTGCATTTTGGTGAGTTTTTCTCTAAGAAATTCGAAGGCTTGGCTTAGGATGCTGCTCTAATAAGAATTGGGCAGCAGCTCAATTATGCAGCTGTCTTGCTGTTTTTGCACTTCCCAGCCATGTGTTAAACAGCTGAACTTCATCAGAGAAGCCACACAAAGCTTCCTTACAGCACGAAACGCAGCCAGGCAATCAAAGGGCTGAGGAAGAAGCGATAACAGAACCTCAGTTGACCATTCTGGTGCAGGGAACAGCTCTGATATAAACCTTGCTCAAAGCTTATCCCTAGGGGAAGCCTCTCTGGCCTCTGCTTATCTAATGGGAGAAGCAGAAGTTTTTAGGAACATTCAGGTGATGTTGGTAAGTCACTGGAGAAAAAGAAGAATTCAAGTCTCTGAATAATATCCCTATCTCAAGTTAATACTAAGGGGAATTAGCACTCTGGAGGGTTTTGAGAAAAAACCAAACCTGAGGTTTCCACCTCAAAAAAAGTCAACATTTGGATTTTGTTAATTCCTGTTTCTAGCACCGAAACTCCCCATTTCCAGCACACGAGAAGGTGAGCTGCTACCCAACGGGTATTTCTCCTGCCCCAAGCAGAGCTATGGACAGCCTTGTACCCACACAGCAATCCAGTCCCTTTGGGGCTCATTGCACAGTGCTCATTAGTGCAATTCCAACCATTAATTGGCTCTTGGGCAGTGTCGGGGCTGGGGAAGGAACAGGTTTCACTGCGTGGCGCACRGCAAGTGGCACTTAGTGGTTGAACTGGGGTTTTGATCTCGTGTCTCATAAAAACATGACACTCCCTCGGGGCTCAGAGAGAAGGCAAATAGCCTTTATCGGCTGGAAGGAGATGCTGCAGCTCGTCTTCTGGCTGATAGAGAAGCCAGATTGAGAATGTAATTATCCTAATTAATTTTGTATCTTGGATCTTTTCAAGTAAACAGCAGTTTCAAAGCAGGCCTGCAGCTTTGATGCACTGAGTAGTTGTTTTATCCTGTCGAGGGGCAGCTTTGTGATAAACATGTTCTTTTGTAGAAAAGGACCTGCAGGAACTCAGGGTCCTGAAAAAATACGAGTTGGACTGTGGATATTTCCCCTCCTAAYTCCCTCCTGCCACTTCAGCCTGCTCTACAAGGAGTTCATGAACCTTCCCAGCATCATCCTCCTCTGGATCATCAGGGCTTGATGCAATCAGCTGTGAAGCATTAGCTCTAAATAGACAACCGAGAGGCCAGTTCTGCTTCAGCACGCAARCGCTCATCATAAAGAAGAAAAAATTACCCAGCAGAGAGCACAATTTGCAAGAGAAACTTGAAGAAATTATTACTTAAATGAGCTGCAGAGGAAGCAAGAGTAAGTGGGGGCTAAGCAGTGTTTTACCTTTGGAGAGGACTAAAGATATAGCAGGAGACTAAGCAAACAGGCCCATGCATGGCCACTGTGTGCACCGGGTTTTGTCCTCATTTGTGAAGTTGGATGCAAAAGCTCATTCTGCTTTATTTACTTGTTTAGGTGGTTTCTGGCAACTCAGCCTGTGTTTCTGGTACAAATCCTCAGCGTACAGGGCCAAGAGACACAAAATTGAACTTTACAAGGAAAATAAACAGGTCAGTAAGAGAACCCAAGTTCATGATCAGGACGGCATCTCACTCCACAGCTCTTATTCCTCACACACACACAAAATCCCCACACATTTTACACTTCCAMTCCACTCGTGCCTCAGTAACCTGAGGAAAATTCTGGGAAGTATTTCAGGGCAGGAGGGAATGTGCTGGTGTCATGTTTTTGTCAACAGCTGTAAAGTAGATGTGCATCAAACTACTCTTTGGTGGTGATGCCAGATATTCCTCGCCCAAATAGCAACCCTGCCCTTCCAAAGAATTTTTTTGAAGATGTTATTAAGCATCTGATTTGGGGCCAGCTCTGAAAGCTCTTTGTCCTGATCTCTGCTGCCTGCTGAAAAGCAAGTAATACTGCAAATGTATCAGAACATACCACGGGGCGACTTATCATAATTGCAGCAGAGCTAACAGCGCTTCCACCAAGTGATTTTTGGCACTGACAGCTGACTTGAACAGTTGTTGGTGGCTGGGACAGATGGACTTCATATTAAAAAAAAAAAAAATCTACTCATTTCTACATGAAAAGGCTTTTGCGGAAACAAATGCATTAACAGAACCTCGGGGAGGTATCTGCTTGTCAAGGGCAATAAAGTATCAATATGTGTTGCTTTCACCAGGAAATGCTCCAGAAATATGGGAAGGGCTCCACTGCTCTGTCCCCGAAATCCAAACGGCTGTTTCTTGCAAGGGACACATCAAGGTAGGATAACAACACYGATGTCGGTTGTTAGCCCTCATTTCTGTGAGGGACGCCAATAACTTCCTCTAATATATGACCATGGCATTTTCCTAATCTTCAGAGTTTCTAGATGCTTTTAGGGCGTGAGCTTGGTATGAAATGAATCCATGTTTTACCAAATTACATTTCATGGCAGTCACTTAAGAAGATGACAAAGAGTTTCGACCTTACTTCTTCTCTGGGACTTGCTCAGCACCAACCCTACAGACTTCAGTACGTGCTGGCTTTTATGTACCAGCAACAGCCTCTTCCCAACTGCCTTCTAGGACGTAAAGTCAAGCCCAGTTGAGCAGTTCCCCAGCTTTTCTACTCTCAGCCCTACTTCTAGCTGTTGTGGGCACAGAGTTGGAATCATCTCCTTCCCAGATGGGTGCTCCATCCCCGTTCCCAAGTCATCCTCTCATCCTTCCACTCATGTTTCATAAATAATGCCCAAAACCCCCTCCAGGGAAAGCCACAGGGGCTCTGGGAGTTATGTGCAGCTAAAGATTGGTTTTTCTTGCCCTTTTTTAGCTTTTTCTTTTTCCAAGATAACCTGTTTGAAATATTTCAATAAACTTCAGTGCTGAGTTAACTCAGAACAGTTATTTGTGTGTGTGTATAAATAAATACGTATCTGTGTGCACCTCCCCATGTATTTTAGCAGCCCAACTTTCCAAATCAGCTGCCCGTGCCACCCTAACCCCTGTGTCCCCTTTGCTGCGCCTGTCCYGAGGGGGAGAGCGATGCCGGCCCTCCGGCTGCTGTCCCCCTGCTCACCCTATTAATAGCCAGACACCAAACGAGCCCAAACTCATTCCTGCGCGGAATTAGCAAATGTTTTCGCAATTAAAACTGCCACCGTCCACGCGGGGCCCCCCGGAACAATAGGCGCCTGTGCCGCCGCTTGAATAGGCGCTGTGTGCGCCCTGCCGAGCCCGCACATTCCTGCCCCGGCCCCGCACCCGCTCCCCGCCGGGCCCCGGCCGCGCGGCGCCGCCGAGCCCATCCCCGCGGCCTCGCGGCTGCTCCGGGCCCGCGCGTCTCCCCATCCCGCTGGGGCACCGGGGCGCGCTCAGCCGCGCGAGCCGGTACCGGGGCAGCCGCCGTGCCCCGACCCATCCCTCCGTGCCCGGGTGCATCCCCCGTGCCCCGCTGCAGCCCCCGTTCCCGGGCGCACCCCCCCCGTCCCGCTGCAGCCCCCGTGCCCCACTGCATCCCCCCTGTCCCGCTGCAGTCCCCATTCCCGGTTGCATCCCCCCCGTCCCGCTGCAGCCCCCGTTCCCGGGCGCATCCCCCGTGCCCCGCCGCGGCGCCGCTCGCTGCCGGTGCAGCTCGGAGGCCGGCGCGCGCTGCCCGCCGGGGCCGGTGCCTCCCCCCCGGGCCGGTGCCGGTGCCGGTGCCGGCTCCCCCGCGGGCCCCGCGCGGCGCGGGCACTCACCGAGCAGCGGCAGCAGCAGCAGCGGCCGCAGCGCCATGATGCGCCCTGCGAAGCGGCCCCGCGCCGAGCGTGCGCACTGCCCGGGCGGGCGGGAGCGGAGCCCGGGGGCGGGGAAGCCGCGGGGCCCCGCCGCGGCGCCGCTCGCTGCCGGTGCAGCTCG